CTTGGCAGTCCACAACTCATTTCCAGTTTTAGATGACTTAACTTAGATCATTCCGGAAAGAAAATTGTTTATTCTACTCATTTTATTCATTCAAACTTTTCCAGAGAAAATGATTTCATTTTCTGTTTAATTTATTACAAAGTTTAGAATCCTTGTGGCCTTAATGTGTATGTATATTTGGACATAATTTCATAAAGTCTGTAGTTAATTAATGTATGGAAGTTACCTTTTGTGTCTTTGCCTGTGATTACATATGTTCACTTGCTGAGTACGAAAATAGAATGATCTTAGAAAATTAAAAAATGCTGAAGAAAAATGTAAGTATTTAAGAACTTGAGTCCAAATGTCATATATCTATACCACAAAGGATGGCAAACAACTGATTAGACTTTTGCATTGATGAAAGCTGGACTTCTATCAGGCTTTGTTAAGGCAATCTCAGTATAGAAAAAGTTGTATTTACTCTGCCTGGCAGAGACTTGCTTATTGAGGGAAAACGTAGTTCTTAATATTTTTCATCAGTGTATCAAGTACCTAACTACAACATATGCTTTTGAACCCATTCCTTCTCTATTTTTCTTGATACTTGCCCCCTTAGTTACATGCCCCAACTCCATAATTTTTTTTTTTTTTTTTTTTTTTTTTTGCGGTACGCGGGCCTCTCACTGCTGTGGCCTCTCCCGTTGTGGAGCACAGGCTCCGGACGCGCAGGCCCAGCGGCCATGGCTCACAGGCCCAGCCGCTCTGCGGCATGTGGGATCTTCCCGGACCGGGGCACGAACCCGTGTCCCCTGCATTGGCAGGCAGACTCTCAACCACTGCGCCACCAGGGAAGCCCCATAATTATTTTAATGTTTGTCTGTGTTTATGTCTTCTCTGTCTAAAGAAAGTTAAATTTTCTCCTTGAGTATGTTGCGTTTGCTACCTCTCTAGTCCTCAACAACCCTAAATTCTCCATCTGGCTAAGTTAGGTTTCAAACCAAACTCTCCTTTCAATTAATATTACTTTATACAGACCTTTGTCCTTTTAAACATACTTTCATTTTCCACTGCTTCTACTTCTAGCTTTGTCTCTCTTCCTTTAACTTCCAAATTCCAGACATGACCCATTTGTTCTGTGGCTTCCAGTTCCTTGGCACCTGCTCATACCTGCAGTCTGCCTTCCACCACTCTCTTGGAACTGCCTCCTCCAAGGCTACCAAGGTCCTATCGATTGCCAAAATCCTGAATTTTCTCAGTTTTCTTTCATGTTTCCACATCACTTGATGTTCGAGGTAGCAGAAGACGTAACAGAAAAGAGATGTCCTCAGTGAGTGCCATGCTGGTAGATGTTTTACAAGTTCTTCAAGGGAGGAAAAGCCCTAACTTATAGCTTTTGCCCATTTCCTTGGTGTAAAAACTCCCAACATGGGTGATTTTAATCTTACAATGTGATGTCACTGAACATGGAATTGGGAGGCTATATGAACAATAGGCTGATGTGAGCCAGCTCCAGCAAACCACTGAATGTCCTTTGGGGGATACTATCAGCCCTTAACTTTTGCAACATGAAGCAATCTGCTTCATTTTCTATTACTCTGACACTAGCTTCTCTCCATCCTTTTATTGCTTCTCTTTCTTAGTTGTGGTCCCTAACTGTAGACTTAATTAAAGGTTAAATTTTTCATCCCTTTTTTTTCCTCCGTGGCATTTTCCTCTACTCTCATGCTTTTCACCATCATTTTAGCACAAGTGACGCTAAACTCTTGCCTACTCCCTAGAGATCATCTCTCTATTCCAATTTCTTATTGGAAATAAGAGATAGCCCCTTTTTACTTCAAACTCAGTAAGGCTAAAATCCGACTGCTTATCTTTCCCTCACCCAAAAAGTACCCACTTTCCACCGTATCCTACTGAAAAGCATTAAATGCAAACAATATGCCAGACACTTCATGAGGTACTTTGGACACAGACATGGAGATTATTATCCATATTTTATAGATTAAAAAATTCAAAGCTCAGATAAGTTGATAAATTTACTCTAACTGACCCATCCAATACCCAATGGAAATCAGATGTGAACCCAGGATTCTGAAATCAAAACTCATCTTTCTTTCTGTTACACCATAGTGCTTCTCGGTTGATGGAACTATCCTTTTTTTTCTTACACTGAATTAGAATGTGCAAGTAATTTTTGAGTTTTTCTTAATCATTATTTAGTATCAAACCCTGTCTATTCATACATTGGGCCAGTGTTTGTGCAAGTATGTATCTCCCTTCTATGCTTTAAAGCTTCTAAAAACAAGAGCCCTGCTATATATCAACATTTTATTCCTTTTTGTAACAAAATTCCTTATAGCAGTAACTCAGTAATTTTGATTTAATAAGTGAAATAATTAATTAATGAACAACAGTGTATTTCAAATATTTTCACTGTATGTGTACTACAGTGGTGTTTCTCTGTCATCTGTATTGAGAGCCACCAATGATGTTATATATAGCAGAACAAATTTTGCACTGAAGGAATATTCAGGCTTAATTTGCTACAAAGAGGAGCAAAAATGGGATGCAAAATGTGCTCGTATTTTAGTACAAATCATGCAGTTTACCATTGCCATAGTATTTTTAGCCCAAAGCCACTGTACCTATTTCTAGGTAGCTTATGGTTTAGACTCCAGGGGATCTCCAATGAGTGTAGAGCAATATGCCTCCTTGTATTTCTGACTAATTCAGAGGACTCCTGGAAAGTCTTTTTACACTTTCAGATGCCCTAATTAGGGTCCAGGACTCAGCAATCTTTCCACATTTCTCTGAATTGCAAGAGCTGACCATACTGTTCTGCTATCAGTACAAATTGCCGGACTTGAGGAGATTATGTGGCCCTCTGCCTAAGTAAGTTGGTAAATGTATCATTGGACTTCTGAATCTGTAGTTTCTAATTCCCATATCACCTTGGTGTATTTCCTGCTTCTGACAGCAGCAAGGGGCTCCTTCATCATTGAGTATGCCTCAGGCCTTTTCTATACATAGCAATGCACTGTGCTGCAGCAAGATATGTGATGCAGAGCTTTTCTACCCAGGAAAGTTAGCGAAGATGTGTACTCTGAATCTGCACTGTAGTGCACAACCTGTAAATTACCCATCTGCAATTCTTAAGAGACATCTGTTTTCAGTGATACTGTGCCATTATCTTGGTACTGAAATGCTCTCAGTTGCTGTTTATCGTAAAATATCTTCAAGTACATCTTTTTATCAGACTCAGTCACTAAGGGGCTTAGAATAAAGTCTTAGAAGCCTTTAGCTATAAACACTATTATTTTAAACAATATATAACAAGTTGAAAAATAATGTAACAGCTAGTTGAGCATCAGGGAATTTTAAATGAATGCAACGTAGAATACAGGTCTCAAAGCTTTTACAGTGGGTCACGGGATTATTCCCACTACAGAATAATCTACTCATTTAGTGCTTTTTTGCATCTTAGCAGTGATAGGCAAGATTGAATCTGCCAAAAAGGCTCTATTAATATGCCTCACCTCATCTGCCATTGCAGAGTATTAGTGGGACTTACTCTTTGGGAGGTTTGGTTTCAATGTGAATATTCAGAAAAATAGATGAGAGAACACCTCATTCACAGTTCTTTATAAATCAGCTTGGTGAGGATAAAGCTTATATACAGAAATATGGGATGATTTCTGTTGCTGCATTATGACTACATAGATAGGGTTTAACTTTGATAATCATCTTCCATTCAATACCTTGAAGACTCGAGCTTTGTCTAGAGAGGTGAGAATATGGGTGTTCATGGCTTCCCGGGCATGCTAACTGGATAAATAACATCAAATTATCCTTTGAGCCTGATGCATAGCCTTTCATATAGAGTGAATTGAAACATAACAGAACTCCTTATTTAGGTCTTTCATTCTTTTAACTCCAATTGTAGGGTATATGGGGGTATCAGTGGAAGGTGAAGGATTATATCCCAAGGCCCTTTATCATGTGATATTAGCGTTAATTGAGTCTCTGTTTTAAGAGGGCAACTCTGTATAATATGTAGCTAACAACCTGTGTTCCTGCACTTTGAAAGTGATAAAATCACAAATGAATTAGTTTAGTGAACCCAAATAAGTAGCAAGTAACAAAGTTTATATTCCAAATATTCCAATTACAAGTGCAGAGATCGTTTTGTTGTTTTCCTAGAGAAAATGTATTTTAACCTGGGTGTGTGTCTGTGTGTGTGTGTATTCCACAATTTGTCTTATTTGGTCGGCCTTTGTCTCTATTCTCTCTAAGCCCGGTTGCCTTGGTTACCATTACATACACCCTCGTATGTGAGGTTCCTCTTTGGCGTACATTTATTTCTATGGAAACAATGAGGTCATTGGTATGGGTAGCTGCTTAGGGAAAGCATAATAAGTATTGAATATCTATCTCTCTTTTGGTCATTAAAATGTATCATTAAATTATTTTTTAATTAGAGAATTATATTTTTGCTTTCCTTTTGACTTGATCGTGAAGCTACATTTTTCCTTGTTTATAGACTTGCTCAAATAAAATGACTTAAATCATTAGATATACTGTATACTTCCTTCTTGTTATATGTGGTATGGTAAAGATCTCCACAGACACATAACAATAAAAGAGTTATTATTTTAACGTTAAAAGTCTGTCAGAGAGCAAAAAGTTTATCTCAATAGCATCTGTTACAGTAAAAAAATTGCACAAGGAATTTTGTATTCCTATGAAGACAATGAACAATGTTTAGATCATGAATCAAGAAAAAAAAAAGCCCTACTTCTCGTCATTATTTTTTAAATCTTGAGGTTTAGAAACAGGAATATAACAGAGGAGTGATAGTTATTAAAACATGTTTTCTGTGACATTAAATAAGTATATATGTAACTGGTATTCCATTTTCTTTTTAAGTTTTAAGTGGCTTTTAAACCTTTTTTTTTAAAGCATCTATTTTCCTCTCTGATTTATTTCCAAACTACTCCAGTTTAATGTTTTTTTCTTTATAGTTGATGTGGAAACCTGCCTGTGATTTTCTCTATACTTGGAGTGCTCACTGCGGAAATAGTTACAGAGATGTGTTACAAGACCTTCAATCAGCTTTGGACAGAATGAAAAACCCTGTGACCAAACAAAGGCGAGACTTAACTGGAGCTTTAATACTAGTAAATTCTTTAGAGGTTTTGAGAGCAACTGCATTCTCCACTTCTGAGGAAGTATAGAATTGAAGGGTATGTTTTGGAGGAGGGAATAGGGGGAGAAAGGAAAATAAAGGGGTGTGTATGTGTGGTTGCGTGTGTGTGTGTGTGTGTGTGTGTGTGTGTGTGTGAAAGAGAAAGAAACTCAGAAAAGTATTACTTTTTTTCATGTTTGAAAAAGTATCTTTTCCTGGTGAAAGCACAGCCTAACACAAAATCCAAGGATGGGTTTTATAATCAAATATGCATTTTTATATATGTTTCAAATGCAAACATTAAGCTGCTTTGTTGCTGAGAAGGGAAAGAAAAGCCCTCTCTCCCTTTCAAAGTTACTTTTAATTTCTTTTAGTTAAAACAAATGACAGCTAACATAGTTACATCACACAGATACCCAGATAATCTAGAGACTCTCAGTGTGAACACTGGAATTTTGCCAGCAGACAGGTAGGGAGAGAGGAGAAGCAAACAATACTCTGTGGCCAGGGACAGGGCTACAGGCTTTCTATGCCTGATCGCTTTTATTTCTCAGTGGTGTTTGCCAGCATTATTCCCATTTTTCATGTGAAGAAACTAAGGACTGGAGAGGATGCTCAGGGCTCTACAGCCAGTGTGAAGGAGGCTTTCTGTTTGCAGAGCTTGGTTCTGGATTTTTAAGAAAACACAGAACATAGGAATATAGTTTAAAAAAAATCAAAATGCATATTAAAACTTATAGGGAAATGGTAATGCTTTCATTTTCATTGGAGCTCACTGCTCTTTTGTACCATCTCTTGAAAGACTGCCAGAAGGAACATATGATTTATCAGAAATCTGTTGTGTGTACCCACTAGCTGGAGTTTTCACCACCTTCCTCCAGCATCTTGAGACCTAGCTAATCCTGCCTAAATTTTGGACTTTTTCTTCAGGATCATAGTGCAGAGTAGTTCTTTAACTCTCAAAGATTTTTAAAAACAAGGGTTATTTTTTAAAAACCTGATTTATCACTGCTGAGTGCAGCAGTCTTAACCACTAAGACCACTGATAAGTGTGTGTGTGCATGCTCATGTGTTCATGTAAACACGTGTGTGTGTGTTTGTTTGTGTGCACCAGAGTGTTTTCTAAAGCTTTTGGAAGACAAAGATGATAGAAATTTGGGCCAGTATAAATGCTAACTGTTGGAGAGTTGATAAAGAGATGGTCTGTGCTTACTGCTATGTTCAATCCTCTGCCGCGTGCCAGTGTTTATGTGTTTTAGACAGTCATTCATTTATTGGCATTCAGTTGACAGATGGAGTGTGTGTACCTACTCTGTGGCAGACACATAGATGTTTGAGGTTAGTAATGGGGAAAAAACAGCATGATCGTTGACTTCAATTCTGCTGAAGTGATAGAGACAATAATAAAAAAAATACACAGTTAAATCTAAAATGGCGTCTGCAATACCTGCTGCAATGGAAAGGCTGGGAAGCTAAGAGATATAGATATTGGGGGACACCATATAGATCAGGGAGATCAGATAAGTTTTCCCTGGTAAGGAAAGGATGAGCCTGAAGGAAGATTACACACTGCTTCTGGTCTGGGGAGGTTGGAAGAGGCAGTTCCTCAATGCACTGAAGCCCTCAGGCAGGAGGAGAGCCCAGGAGATGCAGGGAGCCAGGATGAAGGGCTGGAAAGGGTGAAGGAGTGAAGGAAGGAAAGACATATCCTCAAAGGTAATGTGGATGAGCTGAATAAGGATTTTATTTAGGGATCCTGAATAAAACATGTCCATTTGGCTAAAAAGTAAAAGCAGAATCTTTTTAGAGCTTTTAATACACCCACCCTGGGGTATTTGGTATGCTGGCAAAGGTAATTTGAATTAGGGTTTAAGATCTTTAAGGCTTTTAATATTTATATTTGATGATAAGAGAATATAGCCTGCCCAAGGAGTTATGTACACACATTCAAGGACAGAATTTATTTTAGTTGAAAATGAATTCAGGGAGAAGAAAAAAAACAATTTGTAACTTCAGAACACAATCATTTTTAGTAGTGATTTTTCTTTTTTTAGAACATTCTTGGAATCTTATTAGCACATCAGCAAACCAGAGAATTTCGGGAAAGGATAATCAAGAATTAATAACTGGGTTTTTCCAGGCTCTGAGATCTGAGATGACAGAGATTTTGCTAGCTGATTAGGGCAGTAAGATTTTATAAATCACTTCAGGTTTATCGCATCATCTGTTGTGATTGTGGTTGGGAAGTTTAAGAAGAGTTTAAAAATGAACAGCATGATCTCTGTAATTTAAGGATGAAACAACAGTTTAAATATTAATATACACAAAGATATTTTATAATCTTGTAACAAATCCTTTCAGAGGAATTTTAAACCCATGTCCAAACATTCTGTTCTTTTAAATATATTCTAACATTTTTATAAATCATTTCCACTTTTCTGAATTTTATATTTTTCTTCCTATAATGGATTTTCATAATCAGAAAAGATTAGCTCAGTAATCACGAATTGCCTTTTAAGATTTGGTGGCAAATCAAGGGAATTAATAAGGCACTTAAATCCCATCCTTGACATCATTAAAAGCATCAAAAGCCATTAATATAAAACTTTTTTAAACATTTTGAAACTGGAAAAAGCATAGATGGTTCTTTCAGTTCTTCAGGCTCTTCCCCTAATGATGCATTAGGATGAGATTTTCGTTCAGTGCTCAGCTTGCAGTGTAGTAATTTTTCTATGTAAGCCACAGAGCCTCCACTTCCTTCTGTTAAAGCCTTAATACGAAAGCCAATTAATGAGGTGCAAGCAATAGTGAGTCATTAACTGTTCATGCCAGTCATGAATACAGCGCACTTTCATGTCCTGTAATGTAGAAAATACCATATTAAGTTTTGAACTTGGGGATGACCAGGTCTCTGGAAGGAACAGAATGCATTACATTAATGGATGGTGTTGGTCTAAGAAATTTTGCTGCTACTAAATAGCTTTGAATATGTTATGTGAAAATACAGGGGCTTCCCTGGTGGTGCAGTGGCTGAGAATCCCCCTGCCAAGGCAGGGGACACGAGTTCGAGCCCTGGTCCGGGAAGATCCCACATGCCGCGGAGCAACCAAGCCCGTGCGCCACAACTACTAAGCCTGCGCTCTAGAGCCCGCGAGCCACAGCTAATGAAGTCTGCGTGGCTAGAGCCCATGCTCTGCAACAAGAGAAGCCACCACAACGAGAAGCCCGCACACTGCAACAAAGAGTAGCCCCCGGTCGCTGCAACTACAGAAAGCCCACGTGCACCCAGCCAAAAATAAATAAACAAAAAAAGAAAGGAAGAGGAAATACAATAAAGAAAATACATTCAAAATCATACAATGCTATACATAATTAGAAGTTTCAGAATGAATTTTCATACTGTGCTACTGTAAATTATATTTTCCATAATTTTTTAATGTCCAAGGAATATTTAAGGCACTATAAAGGAAAAGGAGAATAATAAAAAGTATGTCTCTGAAGGCTTTTCTAATTAAAATAGATTTTTTTTCTTTTTATATGTACATACTTCTTCCCCCCTCTTCTGTATGAAGTTTACTTCATGTGCTGCTGTATAATTTAGTGAGTTCCAAAGTTCTAAAGAGGTGGGGTCAACCCAAAGACATTCTTCAAAATAACATAATTGTTGAAAGTTGGTTTCTTGCATGCTTATTTACTAGTCCACAATACAAAATAAAAAGTGACTATGTATACACTACAATATTTTATTATTTCACTAAATGTTATGGAAATTTGTGGCTTTTGCATGCATATTTTACCTTTTGTTTTTATGTATATCTAGGCTTATGTAGGCCAGAAAGCTTTAAATCTAATAGCTTTGCGATTCTGAATAATAGTTTATACATGAGGGAGTGCAGAAGGAGAGATTAGTACTGGATAATAATTAGTAAGGGCAAAGGAGAAAATTCCAGAGTAAGCACTGCTGTTGTAGTGGTGAGTACAACCTGAATGGCTTCTTCTGTAAGATACTAGTCCAGGAGTTGAAGCGGTGGCTTCTAATCTTTGCCCATTCCTTCCTAAGAGACTTTTGACCTGTCATTCAGCCTCCCTGGGCTTCAGTTTTTTCATCTGTAAAACGAGGGGCTTGAACTGGGTAATCTTGAAATTCCTCTTAGGCTTAAATGTCTATGAATGTATAATGAGTAGGGTATTTTGTGGGGTTTGTATATTTATTTTGCTGTGAGGGAAAAGAATGTGAACTAAGACTAATAGTTTGAATATCAATTATTTACATTAAAATAAGGTCCCCTCTGTGTGAGGCATAGCACGCATAGCATGCACACATAAGCACACTAATCACTTTACAGATACTATCTCATTTATTACTCATGTAGCCTACTGAAACTGGTTATGCGATATGCACAATTTTGAATAGTTGAAAACCACCAGCTATTCAAAACAAACTCGAATATGAGTATGAGGACTGAGTTAGAAGGTCAGCAATGGTTTTACTAGGAGCTACCCAAAGCACATTGTCAAACATGCTCCAGTCTCATTGCAAAGGCCTTCGACCAAGCAACCTCTACTACAGAGGTTCTTCAACTTTAGCAGCAGCAGAATCATCTAGAGGGCTTGTTGGAACACAGACTTCTGGGCTCCACCCCAGAATTCTGATTCAGCAGGTCTAGGGTGGTGCCTGAGAATTTGCATTTCTGATAAGTTCTCAGGTAATATAGATGCTGCTGGTCCAGGGACTATACTTTGAGTACCACAGCATTAATTTCCTTCATCTCTATAAGAATAAAGGAATCTTTGCTAAACCAGAGAACCTTACTTCTAGGTAACAAATTTTTATGTCATTCCATCAAAAAAATAGTTTTTAAATTGTAAAACAAAAAAACCCCTGCAAATCAGATTGTATAATGGCTCCATTTATATATATAAAGTGAACTTTTTCATAATGACTTCCTAAACGCTTGAAGAATAATTTTTATTATAAAACTAATTAAAATAATTAACATCTCTACATCTCGTTTAAAATGTAAACGCATTTGAATAAAAATAGGTTAA